TCTTTGTGCATATATTTGTAACAGGCAAAAGGAAACGAGATAGACACATGGTTCCTTTTGAGAATATGCATAGAATCAGTTTCTGAGTCGATGTATGCATGTCCGTCAGTCTCTCCGTCTGTAGATGTTAACTTGTAAACAAAATACAGGTCGTATTTATAATCCGATTTGGATGAAATTTGGCACACGCAACTGATTTAGCCCAAAGGACGAACACTCTTCAAATTGAAGAAAATCGGATGAAATTTAGATACAGCTTCCGTATATAGTTTCATCCGATTATCTGTAAATGGCGCCCATACATCTTTCGATTTGCATGAAATTTTGCATAGTGTACTGAATTAAGTCTAGAATGAGGTGTGCTAAGTTTCGGTTCAGATTTAGATATAGCTCCCACATATAGTTTCGCCCGATTTTAGGTAAATGATGCACAAAAGTTCGATTTGCACGAAATTTCGCATTTCATTCGACTTACACGAAATTTGGTATAGCGTACTTAATTAAGTCTAGTTTCATGAAAATCGGTTCAGATTTAGATATAGCTCCCATATATATTTTCATCCGGTTTAAGGTAAATGGTGTACCAAAGTCCCTATATACCTTTCGATTTGCACAAAATTTGGCACAGCGTAATGAATTAGGTCTAGAATGATGTCTGCTAAGTTTCGTGAAAATCGGTTCAGATTTAGATATAGCTCCCATATATACTTTCGTCCGATTTAATATAAATGGTGCACCAAAGCTCTTATATATCTTTCGTTCAATTGCATGTCTTTTGAACGGGCGACGTCTGTTAGGAGGCTATGTAGAATATAATCAAAGTTGTGAAGGGTATTATATAGTCGGCCCGTCCTACTTTACTTCATTTTTTTCTTACTGGAAATGTCAGATAGCGCCAGGAAATATGTAATGTTGCCTAGCCCAGGAATATATATAGAATAGCCCTCGTCATCCAAATTTTTCTGCAGCTTTTCTATATAAATACTTTTTCATTATGTTATAAAATCTAACTAATTTCCTTTTAGGTTTGGGTCAATTGCTCAATCCTGATTTGGAATTTGCTCTACGATACTGCACTCATTTGGTCTATGGCTACTGTGGCATTAAACCCGACACATATCAGGCTTTTAGCTTACACGAAGATTTGGATATTTACCAACACCAGTTTTCAGAGGTCACCGCATTGAAGAAGAAATATCCCTACCTCAAAGTTCTGTTGAGCATTGGTGGTGATAAAGATTTGGATCCGGAACATCCGAATAAATACCTTGAATTGTTAGAGGGTGAACGTACACGTCAAACGGATTTTATTAATTCCGCTTATTCTCTGGTGCGTTCCTATGGTTTTGATGGTATCGATTTGGCCTATCAATTCCCCAAGAATAAGCCGGGTAAAGTCCATTCGAGTGTTGAAGAAAAATTATTGAAGAAAATTAAGAAACTATTTACTGGAGATTTTGTTGTCGATCCCAAGGCCGAAGAACACAAGGAACAATTTACAGCTTTGGTCAGGGATTTGAAAACTACTTTACATCCCGATGGTTATTTGTTGTCGTTGACCGTGCTGCCCAATGTTAATTCTTCGTGTAAGTAGGGGATATAGAAATTTATTTTATATAATTTTTAATATTTATACATTTTTGTAGTGTACTTCGATGTCCCAGCTGTATCCGATTTTGCTGATCTCATCAACATTGCCGCCTTTGATTTCCTCACTCCCGAACGCAATCCCGAAGAGGCTGATTACACCGCACCCTTGTTTGAACTTTACGATCAAAAACGTTTTTCACACAACAATGCTGATTTCCAAGTTGCCTATTGGCTAGACAACGATTGTCCACCCCGAAAACTCATCTTGGGTATGGCTACCTATGGCCGTGCTTGGAAATTGTCATCTGATTCGAATGCCAGTGGTGGTGCTCCCGTTGTACCAAAGACTAAAGGTGCTGCCGATGCTGGTTTGCTAACTGGAACGCCTGGCTTACTTAGCTGGCCTGAAATTTGTGCAAAATTACCAAACCCTTCGAACACCTTCCTCAAGGGTGCTGATGCTCCATTGACTCGTGTCGGTGACCCCAGCAAGCGTTATGGTACCTATGCCTTCCGTTTGGCTGATTCTCATGGCAATCATGGCATCTGGGTTAGTTATGAAGACCCCGAAACGGCTGCCAATAAGGCCGGCTATGTCCATACCAAGGGTTTGGGTGGTTTGTCAATGTTCGATTTGAGTTATGATGACTTCCAGGGATTGTGTAAGGGGGGCAAATATCCACTGTTGAAAGCTGCCAAAAATCGTTTGTAAGATATTGTGTTTCGTGATTTTTTTTTATCTTAACTCTTTTCTTAATGTACAAATTTTTTATAAGTCAACACGTTTTTAATAAAAATTACTCAATAATAAAAAATTAAAGGTTTTGCGAATTTTTCCAAAATATTTGTAGGAACAACCAGGGCCTTTAAAGAAATATGCTTTCAATGTTTACAATAGGAGTAGTTTTTTAAAGAATACTTTTCCAAAGGCTACGATAGGCGTTGATTTATGTATATGCCTTTGGGGCTGGGGCATCTTCATCCATTCTCACAACATGACCTAGCCAACGTAGTCGCTGCAGCTCAATACGTCTAACAATGTCGATGTCCGAGAATAGCTGGTACAACTCATGGTTCATTCGACGGCGATATTCACCGTCAACGTAAATCGGCCCATAGATTTTTCTGAGAATTTTTCTCTGAAACACTCCAAGAGCTGCCTCATCTGCTTGCGCAAGTACCCATGCTTCAGACCCACATAACAGCACGGGTAGTATCAGCGTCTTGTAGAGTGTGAGTTTGGTCTAGCGGGAGGTGGCCTTGCTTTTGAGTTGTTTGCTCAACCCATATTAGCATCTGTTGGCCATCACTATCCTTCTCCGAATTTCAAACCTGATGTCATTCGTTTTGTTTCTGGCGGTACCAAGGTATATAAAATCTTTGACTAACTCGAAGCTGTAGTTCTCAAGTTCCACAGTTGGTCCGAGTCTACTGGACGTCTTGCGCGTTGATACCATCAGCTTGGTCTTCTCGCCGTTTACTGCCAGACCCACTTTTGCAGACTCCTTCTCAATTTGTTAGAAGGTTGCTGTTACCGCTCTCAGTATTCGACACATTATGTCGATGTCATCGGCGTTGGCGAGCAACATGTGTTGTTTGGTGTACAGAGTGTCATTTATGTTCACTTTTGCCTCTCGTATGACCTTTTCCAGCAGGATGTTAAAAAGGTCACACAACAAACTATCACCTTGTCTGAATCCTCGTTCGGTGTTAAAGGGCTCCGAGAGGTCCTTTCCGATTTTAACTGCTGATCTTGTGCTTGTTAAATTTATCCTACATAGCCGTATTAATTTTGCAGGAATGCCAAACGCAGACATGGCTTATACACCTCTGAACGGATAGGGCTGTCGAATGCTGCTTTATAGTCGACGAATAGGTGGAATGTGTCGATGTGTTTTTCGTGGGTTTTTTTTCCAGGATTAGGAGACGAAGTATTTTATTCTCCTGTTAACCGTAAATCCGCAGCCAAATTCATGTCTCGTTTCATGGCAGCTATAATACAGAGCGTAATCTTTTCCATTTCCATCGCATTTCCTGTAAGACAATAATATCGGCTTTGTACTTCTTGTACGTTCTCTACAAGGTGCGCATATTCCAAGTGCAGACTCGCAGATCGTGGTCCTTTTTTACGTTTGCGGGGGTCGTCAACATTAGGGGGGTTTGTCCGTCCGTCTGTCCATGTTAAATTGTAAACAAAGTACAGGTCGCAGCTATGATCCGAATTGGATGAAATTTGGCACAGCTCATTTGTTTGGCCCAAGGACGAACCCTATTGAAATTGGGAAAAATCGGTTCAGATTTAGATATAGCTCCAATATATATGTTCGTCCGATTTAATGTAAAAGGTTCACCAAAGACCTTATAAATATTTCGATTTGCACGAAATTTGGCATAACGTAGTGAATTGAGCCTAGAGTGACGTCTGCCAAGTTTCGTGATAATCGGTCCAGATTTAGATATAGCTCCCATATATAGTTTTGTCCGATTTTATATAAAAGGTTCACCAAAGTCCTTATAAATCATTCGATTTGCAAGAAATTTGGCATAGCGTACTGAATTGAGCCTGGAATGCTGAGTATCGTGAAAATCGGTTCAGATTTAGATATAGCTTCTATATCTGACCAAATGAATAATTTAGTATAGGTTGCAAAATGACATGTTTATGACTCGACTTTCATTTTACTGGTCCTTTAAAAATTCGACGTCTGTTAGGATTCATCTGTCGAATATACCCAGAGTGGTGAAGGGTATCATATAGTCGGCCCCGTCCGACTTTACTACTTTCCTTACTGGTTCTTATATGAAGCAATTTTTACACTGAGGAGATGCAAAATAGGTGTTTTAAATAATCTTTCTTATATGCGATTTTTTCATATATGAGATGTGCTTATATCCGATATCTACTGTACGTGCTTATGTCTGACAATGACGTGATATTCTCGACGCTTCTGGTTTGTGCGTAGCGTCGCGACAAGCGACGAAAGATGCCACCGTCACAGCACCAGATGTTAACACATAATTTGAATAGATATTGAGTGTTATCATTTTTGTGCGTTTGTTTTGTTTTGATTTTGACGTGCCCTTTTTTTGACTACATCTCAACATCATACATCCAGTTTCTTGGGCAAACAGAAGCTTCGATTATTTTAATGTTTCTTTCGATATTGTCGTGTCTTTTATTCTTCGAAATATAAAAAAAAAACAAAAAACAATAATTACAACAACAAATACAACTATTAATAGCTCCATTTAGCACAGGCTTATATTTGACATCTGATCTCTGATTTTTTTGATAAAATTTTAGTGTCGTTTTAACAATTGGACACAACGGTTGTGTTTTATAGATATTGATATAATTTTTTAAATATTGAAAATAATTCTTTATCGTTGGGTGTAGTGTTATTTTTCGATTACCATGAAGTTGTTGGTGGTTTTGGTGTTATCGCTCTTTGCCGGCATCCATGGAGCTACAAATAGCACTGCCAAAATGGTATGCTATTATGATTCGAGCAGTTTAATACGTCAAGGTAATCGGATATAATTAAGTATTTTGGATTCTCACTGGAATTAAAACCAGTAAGAAAGTAGTAAAGTCGGACGGGGCCGACTATATGATACCCTTCACCACTATGTGTATATTAAGCAGGACCATTAACATGAAATTGGATGAACTAAAATATGTAATACTTATCTAAATCGACTAAGATCAATCAATAAACATGCCATTCGTTTGTTAAGCTATTCTATGCTAAATTTTGTACGATGTGCAAAATTTCATGTCAATCTGAACAATGCACCATTTACTTAAAATCGGACGAAAATAAATATGGAAGCTATATCCAAATAAGAACCGATTTCTTAGGTTAGTAATATCAGTAATATATTGGTTCCTTGGTGCGTCAATTACTTACTTGGTGCGTCAACCGATAATATATAAGGGAGCAATATCTAAATCTGGACCAATTTTCACGAAATTTGGCAAAAATCACTCTAGGCTCAATTCAGTACGTCGTGCCAAATTTCGTGCAAATCGAAAGATATATAGGGACTTTGATGTACCAATTACATAAAATCGGACGAAACTATATATGGGAGCTATATCTAAATCTGGACCGATTTTCACGAAACATGGCAGACGTCACTCTAGGCTCAATTCAGTACGTCATGCTAAATTTCGTGCAAATCGAAAGATTAATAGGGACTTTGGTGTACCATTTACATAAAATCGGACGAAAGTGTATATGGGAGCTATATCTAAATCTGGACCGATTTTGACGAAATATGGCAGACGTCACTCTAGGCTCAGTTCAGTACGTCATGCCAAATTTCGCACAAATCGAAAAATATATAGGGATTTTGGAGACCCTTTTACCTAAAGTCGGACGAAAATATATATTGGAGCCAGCAACGTACACAGGATTTCATTTCGGGGGTGGCCCGGTAGTACAAAATGAAAAAAAATCGCTGTTGCAAATATAAATTTACTGTGAAAAAAATTCATTTCGGGGGGAGCCCGGGCCCCCAGGGCCGCCCCCCTGCGTTCGTCCCTGATTGGGGCTATATATAAATCTGACCCGATTTGGCACACGTCATTCTTGACCTAATTCAGTACTTTATGCCAAATTTCGTGCAAATCGAAAGATATATAGGGGCTTTGGTGCCACATTTACCTTAAATCGGACGAAAATATATATGGGAGCTATATCTAAATCTGAACCGATTTTCACGAAACTTAGCACACATCATTCTAGACTTAATTTAGTACGCTGTGCCAAATTCCGTGCAAATCTAATGATATATAGGGACTTTAGTGGACTATTTACCAAAAATCGGGCGAAACTATATATGGGAGCTATATCTAAATCTGAACCGATTTTCACGAAACTTTACACACATCATTTTAGACTTTATTCAGTACTCTATGCCAAATTTCGTGCAAATTGAAAGATATATAGGAACTTTGGTGTCTCATTTACCTTAAATCGGACTAAACTATATATGGGAGCTATATCTAAATCTGAACCGATTTTTTCGAAACTTGGCACACAAATCATGCAAATCGAATGATTTATGGGGACTTTGGTGCACCATTTACCTTAAATCGGACGAAACTATATATGGGAGCTATATCTAAATCTGAACCGATTTTTCCCAATTTCAATAGGGTTCGTCCTTGGGCCAAATAAATGAGCTGTACCAAATTTCAGCCAAATCGGATTAAACATGCGACCTGTACATTGTTTACAATTTAACATCAACAGACGGACGGACGGACATGCATAAATCGACTTAGAAAGTGATTCTATGCATATTCTCAAAAGGAACCATGTGTCTATCTCGCTTCCTTTTGCCTGTTACAAACATATGCACAAAGACATAATACCCTGTACCACAGTGTGGTGAAGGGTATAAAAATGTGTAAAAACAGGTTGAGGCGAACGAGTTTTTTTATGTTCTCTTTCGATTTGTGACTAAGACACTCATTTCACGGTCTTCATGTCAAAGTAAAACTAGAAGTCAACCAAATCGGGACTACGCCTCTTATGTATCATTTTTTAATATTTTAACTGCTTTTACCTTTAAATTATGCTGACATTTTGAAGCTCGATTTTGAGTGTTTTTTGGATTTTACTTCTAGTTTCAATGCGCAAACAAGAATTTCTAAAGATCGATTATAAGATTATTGTAGTCGCGAATCTGAGTAATTTGATAAACATTTTGTGTATGTAGTATGTACAGCTTCAGAGTAATACTCATCCGAAGGTGGACATTTTGTGCAATGAAATTTCTAAAAAAATTATTTTTCGGACCAAATTTTTAGATCAGTCAACTGAATGATATGGGTACCCGCGATCAGTAAGATTTTTTACATTTTAAAAAATCTTCTTCGTGAAAAGCTAGAATAGCGGGAACTGGCCTTCCAAAAACACGAAATTTGGCAAAAAAAAATGTTTTTGAAAATATCACGTATTTAATTGCATTTCCTGTAGATCATTTCTGTTACAATAAATGAAAAACAGAACATGAACCAGTGAGCGGAGCAGTATAGTCGGACGGGGCCGACCATATGATACCCTACACAACTTCCACGAAAATCTAACATTCTGGGGTTCTATATTCTGATCTTGGCAATATTTCACGATATTTGCATCGTCTTGACCGATTAGAGGTCAACAAATATTACTAATATTGAGTACAGATTCCCTTCACAGTGGGTTGGGTTGTGATCTTCGGCTTTCAATTGTGGCCTATAGATCGACTTGAAAAAAACACCAAAAATTAAGTTTTCGGTCTAATTCATCCCAAAATTAGTATCTGATCATCACCGAAAATTATAGCCGTAGTAGTTGACCATACCTGGATCCTCATGGAAAATTTCTAAACCATCAGCGCTATATTTCTGTCCTCCAGTGTGGTAATGAGTTACTGAATACTATATCAATACGTAAGCACCTGTAAATATTTAAGTGTATCTCCCACATCCGAGTACATACGACAATATAATTGGTATCAATTTAAAGGTCAACCACTCCTCTTGGATATAATATCAACATCTCGGGTCGATGTCCTTCAGCAGTAAACATATACGCCATAGAATATAAATTTTGTCATTTTTCACACAAAAGTCGGGGTCCATTTGACCCGCTAAATAATAACAGATCTTTATCAAAACAGGCATGCTTATTCTTTGGCCCGATCCCCTTCTCCATGTCAAAATTCGCGAAGTTTGCGGCCAGAAAATAAGACAAAAATTTAGTTTTTGGTCCATTTCATTCCCTAAATATTAACAGATCTTTACAAAAAAACAATAGGGTTCTTCATTGACCAGAACCAGTTCTGCATACAAAATTTCTTGAAGATTGATCCATAACTGTGGCCTGTATCATGTTTACAAATTATAATGGACAGACGGACATGTCTAGATCGACTCAGCTAGTCGAGATATGACGATCGGTATACTTAAAGGTGGGTCTAGGACCAATATTTCGCGGCGTTACAAACTCTTGGGGCTGCACAAAGCTATAATACCCTGACAACATAGATGTGTAGGGCATAAATAGTATTCTTATTTGAATGAATGCAAATTTGATCGCCGTTTTAAATGAATTGTCTGCGACACGACTTCGGCTGGGAAAAAATTCAAAGCAAAAAAATTAAAAACTCTAGGCTTTACTAACTTCGAACAAGGACTTCATATAATGTATTTTCCACAAGATCTGGTCTGTTTTTCTAGTGATAGAAGGTATCAAATACAGGATGAGATGAAACAACGGCAACCAACTTCAGACTGCTGTCATTTCTGAGCCACTCATCCGACAGCTGTTAAAATTATTCCAGTGACAGCTCATTATATTGTTTACAAGCGTTCAAAAGCATTTTGGTGAGAATTTTTGCAGAAAAAATCATTTAAATTTGAATAAATCTTTTGTGTCACGTAACATCGCTCGTTACCGCGATACTCGTATTGTAGCCCGACGTCAAGGAAGTGGACGGAAGAAAACAGCAACATCAGCAGAAATGGTTCGAAAAGTACAGAAGCAACTTGATCGAAACCCTCGTCGCAGTGGCTGAATATTTCGTAATACTCCATTCGGCAAATATTGAAAATTGAGCTAGGGGCAAAGCCATTGAAATTCCAAAAAGTGCAAGAACTCACACAATGTTGCCTTTGTCTAAGGGTGTCTCACATGACAATCTTTGAGCGAGCGTCGACCGCGACTAATCCATGTCGGAACTTGAGAAAAATTATCACATCATTATTGATTTTAATGACATGTTCGTACGTCAAGCCGTACATAACACTTTTAAGCTAAAAATGTCAAACTTTCCAATGGAAATGCCAGATAGCTCCAGAAAACATGTAAACATGTTGCCTAGCCCAAGAATATATACAGTAGCCCTTATCATCCAAACATTCTGCAGCTTTCCTATATAAATACTTTTTCATTTTGTTATAAAATCTATCTAATTCCCTTTCTTTTAGGTTTGGATAAATTGCTGAATTCTGATTTGGAAATTGCTCTACCATTCTGCACGCATTTGGTCTATGGCTACTGTGGCATTAAACCCGACACATATCAGACTTTTAGTTTACACGAAGATTTGGATATTTACCAATACCAGTTTTCAGAGATCACCGCATTGAAGAGAAAATATCCCCACCTCAAAGTTTTATTGAGCATTGGTGGTGATAAAGATATCGATCCGGAACACCCGAATAAATACATTGAATTGTTAGAGGGTGGACGTGCACGTCAAACGGCCTTTATTAATTCCGCTTATTCTCTGGTGCGTTCCTATGGTTTTGATGGTATCGATTTGGCCTATCAATTCCCCAAGAATAAGCCGCGTAAAGTCCATTCGAAAGTTGGTCAGGCATTGAGGAAAGTTAAGAAACTATTTACTGGAGATTTTGTTGCGGATCCCAAGGCCGAAGAACACAAGGAACAATTTACCGCTTTGGTCAGGGATTTGAAAAATGCCCTACGTCCCGATGGTTATTTGTTATCGTTGACCGTGTTGCCCAATGTTAATTCTTCGTGTAAGTTGGGGATATAGAAATATATTTTATATAATTTTTAATTTTTATAAATTTTTTATAGATTACTTCGATGTCCCAGCTGTCTCCGGTTTTGCTGATCTCATCAACATTGCCGCCTTTGATTTCCTCACTCCCGAACGTAACCCCGAAGAGGCTGATTACACCGCACCCCTGTATGAACTTTACGATCAAAATCGTTTGCCCCACTACAATGCGGATTTCCAAGTTGCCTATTGGCTAGACCACCATTGCCCACCCCAAAAACTCATCTTGGGTATGGCTACCTATGGCCGTGCTTGGAAATTGTCATCTGATTCGAATGCCAGTGGTGGTGCTCCCGTTGTATCAAAGACTAAAGGTGCCGCCGATGCTGGTTTGCCAAGTGCGACGCCTGGCTTGCTTAGCTGGCCTGAAATTTGTGGTAAATTACCAAACCCTTCGAACACCTTCCTCAAGGGTGCTGATGCTCCACTGACTCGTGTCGATGACCCCACCAGGCGTTATGGTACCTATGCCTTCCGTTTGGCTGATGACCATGGCAATCATGGCATATGGGTTAGTTATGAAGACCCCGAGACGGCTGCCAATAAGGCCATCTATGTCCATACCAAGGGTTTGGGTGGTTTGTCAATGTTCGATTTGAGTTATGATGACTTCCGGGGATTGTGTAATGGCGACAAGTATCCATTGTTGAGAGCTGCCAAAAATCGTTTGTAAAATATTGTATGTTTCGTGAATTGTTATTTTTATATGTGTCTTATTGTACACATTTTTTATGTTAACAAGTTTTTAATAAAAAAATACTCAATAAAAATTAAATATTTAAGGACAGTAAGGACTCACAATATTTGTAGAAACATTAAGGATTTTCAAAGAATATTTTTAAAGGGCTACAAAAGGCGTGGATCTTTTAAAGAATATTTTTTCAAGGGCCACACAAGGCGTGGATTTTGTAAAGAATATTTTTTCAAGGGCCACACAAGGCGTGGATTTTGTAAAGAATATTTTGTCAAGGGTCTACTTTACAGAAGACGATGAAGATTGCAAATTGACAGCCAGATATAAAGTCCAATTGGTTAGAAAATTAAAAAAAAGATGAATTTAAAATGCATATGACGCTAGAGGCGATTTAATGGGTCCTTCATCATTTCACAATTCAGTCAGTATCCCCCAAATACCGCATTTAATATGTCGGATATTTGTATTAAAGTTCCACCTTGCGACAAGCAAAACTTCTATGGAAGTTATGACGAATGGCCTACATTCAGAGACATGTTTACGGCCATTTACGGTTACCATCCCTGACTCACCCCAGCTCATAAACTCTACCATTTGCATAACAAAACAAAGCGTGAGGCGGGCAGAATTGTAGATACCCTTTATCCACGCCTGGTTCCTAACAATATTTTTAAAATATTCCAAAAAGTATTCCTTAGAAAATCCATGACTTGTATGGATCCATAAAAAATATCTTTTTGAAAATGCACGAGTTGTTTGATCGCTGAAAATAATCTTTAAAAAATTCACGCCATGTCAAATCAACCCAAAATACATGCCTTGTTGGTATTGGTTCCAGAAATATTTTATTTAAAAAATACCCGACTTGTATTGGGCCCAAAATCGATTTCAAGAAAACTTAACACACGAAAGGTTATGGTAACTTCAGTTCATTGCACAAAATTGTGTGCGGTCGGCCAAACTATGGGTTTTAGTGCACAATTCACATTAAATCGGACGAAAATATATATGTGATCTAAATCTGAACCGATTTTCACCAAATTTAGCACACATCATCCTGGACCTAATTCAGTACCCTTATGCCGAATTTCGTGCAAATCGAAAGATATATAGGGTCTTTGGTGCCCCATTTACCTTAAATTGGATGAAACTATGTACTCGAGCAATATCTAAATCTGAACCGATTTTCAATTTCAATAGGATTCATCCTTGGGGGAAAATAAGTGACTTGTGCCAAATATCATCCAATCGGATCATAAATGCGATCTGTTACAAACGTATGCACAAAGACATAATACCCTGTACCGCAGTGTGGTGAAGGGTATAAAAAAGGGTATGACATACTCATTCATATTCTGTACAATCTATCTATATATATAAAAGAGTTGCGTTATAAGTGACTGACTGATCATCAACGCCCAGATGAAACGGCAAAAGTACTAAAAGTACTAAATGTTATATTTGAATGGGAACGGTAGATATACCAATCTGAAACTTAGTATGTAGCTTAAGCTATTACAAATAGAATGATGTGCAAAAATATTTTTTGGAAATGGTACTAAAAAGTACTAAAACTATATTACGCCGGAACGGTTGGAAGAATATTTCTGAAATTTTGTATGCACCTTTGCCTACTATAAGCCAAATGGTGTGTGTGAAAAAAATTTTAAATTTAGTACTAAGAGGTACTAAAAAGTACTAAACATTACATTTGATTGGAATCGGTGAAGATTCATATCAGAACCTTGGTGTGGAGCTCAAGCTATTACCAATAGAATGAGGGGCGAACATATTTTTCGGAAATTAGTACTAAAAGCTACTAAAAAGTACTAATACTTTATTACGCCGGAACGGTTGGAGGTAGAACTCTGAAAATTTGAAAAAAAAAATTGGAAATTAGTACTAAAGGTACTAAATATTATATTACAATTTATATATATATTCCTAATATATATCTGAAACTTTATATGTAGCTTAAGCTGTTACAAATAGAATGTGACACTAAAACCTGTATTACTCCGGTACGGTTGGAAGTAGAACTATAAAATTATATTACAATGGAAGAAGTATAAATTTAGTACAAAAACCGATAAAGATGAAAATACGAAAATTAGTATATAGCTTTAACTATTTATTCTTTTAGTATTAGTACGTTATGTAAATTTTTTTGTGAAAATTAGTACTAAAGCGATAATAAACACTACAATGGAACCGGTAAAAATATAAATCGGAAACGTGGTAGATTTCACTATTACAAAGACTATGCTATGTATTGATATATTTTTGAAGAAAGTAGGGGAGACTGGGGCACCTTCGGCACTTTTTGTTTAGAGCTCTATATCTCACTACTTATTCAACATATATAAAAACTTTATGGCTGATTATTGTCCTCTGACACTTAATTATAAAAACTAGTATCAAAAGGATATAAAATATTATTATTAGTTACAAATTTTTACAGTTTTGTAAAAAAAGTCAAATTCGCCGAATGTGCCCCAACCCGGGGTAGCTTCGGCATTTGATGGGACACATTCGGCACCATGGTAAGTATCATCGCTATCAGTCTGGTTGAAATTCAGATACTCTAAAGGCTCTATTTGGTTTTAATACGCGACATAATGTTTGAATTTTAGGGCTATATTTTCTAGCGGCGGACGTTGAAATCTCAAGGTCGCACACACCATCAGAAATAGGTTTTTTTTTAACGCATTTTCGTCAATACAAGCACGTTTAGTCTTATATATATAATTTCGAACCATATTAAAGGATTATTTTAAAAGACGATCTCAAAAACATTTTAAGGAAATGAAATTGCACTATCTGTATATTGCCAAATGTGCCCCACTGTAAAATGCCGAATCTACCCCGAATGTACTTCTTATAGTTTTTTTTTAATTTTTTTCTGTCAATTTTGTAAAAACATTATATTTTTATATACTTCTATAATAGTACACATCGTAGTTAACCACTTTTTAATAATATTGTCTTAAAATTTGAAAAGTTGTATACATGAAATACTTACGAAATGGAATGGAAATATTACAAAAACATCTATAAAAATAGAAAAACCTATGTATCTAAATAAGCTTATTAGCTGGAAATTTCAAACTTTGTGTCAGTTATTTATTTCGATATTCGGTACCTATGTATCGAAACTAGTGATGTACGGTGAGAGGTTCATATCGAAAACGCGATTGCCGAAGCTGCCCCGATGCCGAAGGTGCCCCAGTCTCCCCTACTAAATGGTGAATGGTAAGAAATATAACCATACTAAATATTTGTACTAAGAGTGAGGAAATTTAGTTCGTTTGCAAAGCTATAATACCCTACACAACTATGTTGTCAGGGTATTATAGCTTTGTGCAGCCCCAAACGATTGTACCGATCGTCATATCTCGACTAGCTGAGTCGATCTAGACATGTGTGTCTGTCCGTCCGTCCGTCTGTCCATTATAATTTGTAAACACACTACAGGCTACAGTTATGGACCAATCTTCACGAAATTTTGCATGTAGGATGGGTTCTGGCCAATGAAGACCCCTATTGTTTTTGGAAAAGATCGGTTAATATTTTGGGGATGAAATGGACCAAAAAAAATATTTTTGTCGGTTTTTCTGGTCGCTCCACAGGCTGCTATTATTGCCCAAACACCGCAAATTTTTGCATGGAGAAGGGGATCGGGCCAAAGAATATGCATGCCTGTTTTAATAAAGATCGGTCAATATTTAGCGGGTCAAATGTACCTTAACTTTTGTGTGAAATATGACAAAATTTGTATATATATTTACCACTGAATATTTACCACTGAAGGACATAGACCCGAGAAGTTGATAGTATATCCAAGAGGAGTGGTTGACCTTTAAATTGATACCAATTATATTGTCGTGGGTACTCGGATGCGGGAGTTACACTTAAATATTTACAGGTGCTTACTATTCATATATTATTTAGTAACCTATTACCACACTGTAGGGCGGAAATATAGCGCTAATCGCTTTGAAATGTCGTTCCAGTTATGGTCAAGGACAACGCCTAAAATGTTAGGTGATGATCAGATAATAATTTTTCGGATGAACATTTGCTGACCTCTAGCCAGTCAAAAGTGTGCAAATATCGCGAAATATTGTCCAATCTCAGAATATAGAACCACAGAAAGCTAGATTTTTATGGAAGTTGTGTAGGGTATCGTATGGTCGGCCCCGTCCGACTATACTGCTCCGCTCGCTGGTTTATAGAATGGGTTTTGAAAGGCATTGAAACTACTAAATATTGTACATGGGTATTGAGCGATTAGAAGTGATGGAGTTTGGAATTCGTGTATGTGGCTTCTAAAATAAAAATAAAAATTTTCCCAGCGCCATTAACGAGTTAATAAGACAGAAATTGGCATTGCCTAATCTATATGTAAAATAGTCTATATAATTGCGTTATAACTGACTGATCATCACCGACCAGAAGAATCTTGATATTTTGCATGTAGGTTAGTGTTGGAAATTCGTATTAAATGGTACTAAATTTTTCTTAAAGTTACTAACAAGTACTAAATATTATGAACGCTAGAACGGATAAGAGCAGGAACCTGTTATTAAATACTTATAACAGAAAAATTTCTATATAAATATTTACCAGAAATATGTTCTAAACAGGACTAAAAGAATTCTGAAATTTAGTACAACCCTTTTTTATGAAAAACAATGCTTTTCGCATTTTGTTTTGTACTAAAAAGTACTAAGTATAGTATAAACGAAAGCAACTATTTTTCGAAAATTTGTACTAACAAATAAAAATATATCAGTCGGTGTTGCCGACATATATACATGTGGTATGCGGAGATCTTCGGAGTTACACACATGGTATATATATATATATATAAGGTTTATATAATGTATATGTTTTTATCAAAGTGGTTTCGTATATAACGTTGTTGAAATCGGTCATTCAATTCGCTTAAAATAAAATTTGCATGTTTATATAATATTGACCTTTTTGG